AAGAACCTATGCATATCTTCCCATATACTCTAATCATCTCTAGAGGACTCAGAACACCTAATACAATGCAAACGCTGTTAGTACTTACTTTACTGTGTGGTTTAGGAAATAATGGCATGAAAAAGCTTGCATGAGTTCAGTACAGTTATGTTTTCCCCAAGTCTTTTTTAAAAGTTTTATTTAGCTATTTGAAAGAGAGAGAGAGAGATCCACTAGCTCACTCCCCAAATGACCTCAATGGCCAGAGCTGATCCAGTCTTAAGCCAAGAGCCGGGAGCTGCTTCCAGGTCTCCTACATGAGTGTCAGAGTTCCAAACACTTGGGCTATCCTCCACTGCTTTCCCAGGCTCATCAGCGGAGAGCAGCGGAGATTCAAACCAGCGCTCACATGGGATGCTGGTGCTGCGGGTGGCGATTTTACCCACTATGCCACAGCGCCGAACCTCCTCCAAGTCTTTTTGATCCAAGGCTAGTTGAATCCAAAACAAGGAATCCTTCATCCGGAGGGCTGGCTATCTTCACACCATCCCTATCTTGGATTGTTTAACCCAGGCCTTTAGCAGGTGAAATCACAACTTCACTTTCAACCACAGGAGGGCGCAGCAGTATCACTAAAAAAGGGATTATACCGCTCAACGCTGCGGCCGAAGACACGGAGTGTAGGGAAAGACCCACATATTTTTTGCATTTTGTAACAGATTGTTCTGATATAAACGCAAATGGGTTGTTCAAAGCAAGAGCCGGTTCCAGTCCCCTCGTTTTTCATATGAGAAAACGAAGATCAGGGAGCTCCAAGACTCCGGATGCCCGAGGTGCACAGGAGGTGGGCAGCTAAGCTGATGGTGTCTGGGGGAGCCACAGCAGGCTCTGGCAGGAGAGCAGGATGGCTCACATCTCGGCAAGGACACGAAAGGGCTCCGGGAAGAGAGGAGCCCCACTGTGTGCCATGGAGAAGGCGGCGGGAAGATCAGCTTTGTTCCTGGGCTGGAGAACCTTTGATGTAATGGGGAACTTATGAGTACAAAGTGCAGGAAGAGCCCATCACAGAACACGCGGTGCTCAAAAGTACTTAACCGATTGCAGCTGTCCCACGCAAGGCACAGAGCGCCCAGGGGCATCCTGGCAGATGTCTCCAGCGCCCGCTGAGGTCGCCGAGCAGGGTGTGAAGGCCTGTGGGCTCCCTTGTCTTCCTGGAGGGGCTGCTCAGCTCCCCTCCCACCGCCAGTCACCTACAAAGGCCACTTGCATTGCTGAGTGTCCGACACGGGATCAGTACACATGATTATGAAGACAGGACAGGATCCTGAGAGCTGATGCATGGGCAAGGCCTCTTAGACAAAGAAACAAGCACAGCACACCCAAGGCTCCCGCTCAAGCCCTCAGCTCTGTGTCTGCCATGCCCGAGGGCCTCCCCATGATCATCTCTCAAAGAGCCGCCACCAAATACCATTAACTTAGGACTCTGGGTGAAGTCTTCAACCCAAGAACTCGTGGGGGACCATCGCGCTGGGCAACCATCAGTGTAATGTTAGCAGCTCTCACAGTAGACCCACCCATGGAGCCTCAACACTGATTATTTGGGCTGTTATATTTCCTCCTTCTTCTTTTTTAAATATAAGATGTACTTAATTTATTTTGAAAGTCAGAAAGAGAGAGAGAATCTGTCCAATGCCGAGCTGTCCAATGCTGACAGCCTGGCACTGAGTCTCGAAGCAGTCCAGTGACTCCTTGCTGCCTGCTCAGGATTGTAGAGAGTGACAGGGGCAGCCCCTCAACTACTCAGCAGGCCCCAAGTGGGTTACACATAGGTCTCAGTTTTCACCAGGCAAGCTGAGTCGCCCACAAACAGGCCTGCAGGTGATTTATACCAAAGTCAATCTGTCTCACCAGCCTGCAAGTCCCTGGTATTGAGGCAAAGCGCTAGCCTAGGGTTTTCACCTGTGGATGAAGCCTTTAGGATCTGCCCAGTTCTGGGTCCCAAGAAGTAGTCCTAGGGCCCATTGCTGTCTGGCCAGGCTTGGAGGAGAGCGTGGTAAAGGCAGCCCTCTGCCTGCACAGACTGGTCCCCGGCTAGTCACATCTGGGCCCCACAGCCACAGGTCCCTACAATGCCCTGGGGGTGGTTGCCACACCTGGCAGAGGCTGGCTGTGGCATGCACCAGAGCCGGGTCCCTGCCTGTGCAGTCTGTGAGCGCTGGCCGGGGGCTGGTGTGAGCGCTGGCCGGGGGCTGGTGTGAGCGCTGGCCGGGGGCTGGTGGCCTTTGGGCTTCCTCAGGGGCTGGCTCTCCATGCTGGAGGCCAGGCTCTGAGCTCCGGGGCAGGGTCCTGGACTCCTTCCTCAGGCCTCTCTGTGTGGCTGTTGCTTCACTTCCTGTTAACAAAGGTTTGGGGAGGGATTGCTGGGGCTGCCTGGCTCCAAAGAATCACTCACAGGTCGGGGCCTGGGGGCTGGGGCAGCAGGGCTCAGTCTGTCTGAATTCTTCAAGGACGGTCTGGCCCGGGGATTCAGTTTGCTCTCACTTTCCCAAGCGGGAGGCATCTCGCCATGTCATGCCCCTTGGAGCTGGAGAGGGGCAGCTCCTTCCTTCCTGCGTTCTTTGATGGGACTTTCCTAATGACTGCAGCAGGACAGGCACTTTCGTCTCTGCCCTGGCGTCCGCAGCGCTTGTGAAGGAGATTTGGTGCATGCACAGCTGTTCATGTTGCTGTCTCTCTGGGGAGGTGGTCGCTGGGACCGCTTAGCTGCCCTTTTATTCTCAAAATTAGAAAATTAATAATTTTAATAGTTTTAGGATGATTCATTTTTAATTTTTTAAAATTTTTTACTTTTAAAGGCAGAGTTACAGAGAGGCAGAGGCAGAGAGAGAGAGAGAGAGAGAGAGAGGTCTTTCATCCCCTGGTTCACTCCCTAATTGGCCACAACGGCCAGAGCTATGCCGATCCGAAGCCAGGAGCCAGGAGCTTCTTCCGTGTCTCCCACGTGGGTGCAGGGGCCCAAGTACTTGAACCATCTTCCACTGCCTTCTCAGGCCACAGCAGAGAGCTGGATGGGAAGTGGAGCAGCTGGGACTCAAACCTGCGCCCATATGGAATGCAGGCGGTGGCTTTACCCACTACACCACAGCACTGGCCCCAGGATGATTCACTTTTTAAAGATAGAATTATGAGGGTTCCCCCACATAATTATTATATAATATCCTTGCTTCCCAACCCTCTCCCTGCTTGTTGGTTAAAAATTGCAAAACAATTAAGTCATAAAACAACACCTTGGGCATTTTGTGTGTGTTTGTTTCTGATTTTCACAGAATGTTGGCTACTAAGAAACATATTTCACTTGGATATTATGCTGAAACTATCATTTGGCATTTTCCCAGGTGCATTAGCAGGAAGCTGGGTGGGAAGTGGAGTAGCTGGGACTCAAACCGGCACTCTGACAAGGGATGCTGGTGTTGCAAGCACTGGGTTAACTTGCTTCACCACAACACCATCCCCAGTAGAGTTACCTATTAATTTCACTTTCCTTGAACCTTTTGGGCTGCTCTCCTATACAGCTTAAATATTTTCGTTCTAGTTTATAGTTTCTGTACGTACATTCTTCAAAAGGCTAATTTACAGCTTCAGGGTTTCAGTTTAGGTTTTTATTTGGTTGGTTAAGATTGTTCTTGCTTCAGGAAATGAACTGAACAGAAGCTCTGTTTCCTTCTCTGTGTCCCGGTACAGACGAGACAGCCTGTGAATTATGCATCGCTGCGGAATTCTGAGGACCTTGGCTGCAAAGCCACATCAGACTGGAACTGTGGTTCTCAAACCCAACCGCACATTAAGATCTGGAGAGCTTTTAAAATCCCAGGGCCCAGGCCACATCTCTGGTGAATGAAATCAGAATCTCTGGGTTGTCAACCAGATACCAACATTCTAAAGAGCAAGATAAACCGAAAGCTCAATGGTTTGTCACGTTCGTGCTGGACCTAATATCGTCTGGGTTTGTCCACAATTGGTCCCATAGTAAATATTGACCCGTCTGTAATCTTCGGGGCACGGACGGTGTCCAGCAGATGTATCAACAGCAATAGCACCCTGAGCTGGGTTCTCAGACTTTATCTTGCTTTAATCTTGCACTAAACCAATAAGGTACGGTGGATAATATAATCGCTATCTTACATAGCAAAGAAAGCTGAGGCTGTGCGGGGTTAAGTGGCATAGCCTCTTGACTTCCATCACGTTGGTATTTCGATCAATAACGGAGTCGAAAGATCAAACAGGAAAACAATGGTTAATGTACAAGAAAAGAAATCCGAGCTCTCTAACTAATCGGGAGGTCTTATTTCCAAAGGGTAAATCTGATTACATCGCTCCTGGTTAAAACCCTTCAATGGCTTCCTTATGCCTAAAGGAGGGGGAAAAAAAAAACGAATTCCTTTGTGTGGCATAGAGGCTCTTTGTGTGACACGAATCTGGCCCCTTCTTGCCTCCCCAGCTCTGGTTCTCAAAGGGCCACTCCCACTCCCTCCCCCAGTCTCTCACTAAGCCTCGCCTTGCTCCAAACCTCTGGCTTTCTTTGTGCCTCTGCTCAAGTTATTTGCTTGCTCTTTCTAGAAGGTCTGCCTTCCAGAGTTTTCCTTCCCTTCCTTCCTCTGACTCTGTTGGCCCATTTATCTCTAAAGTCTGATTCTGTTTCAGCATGACCACCTCCCCCAGACACACACACACACACACACACCTCCCCCCACCAACCCGTCCCAGACTTTCCTTCCTCGGTGCTTCTAGAATTTCCTACAAGACCGGGACTGCCCAAAGGACAGCTACTGCTGATTAATCATCCTATCCCTACTGCCTGCAACACTGTGGGGTTTAATAAAAGGCTTATCAAATGCATGCAGCCTGGCCTCCACTCTCTGTAGCTGAAATGGGTGGTGTATACACAGTGAAGCGAACGGCCGTGTCTGACAGGGGTGCGTCAGGGACTGCAGGAGACCCGGCAGTTGAACCCAGGGTCTTACCCATTCTGTAACTCACAGGTGTTGTCCAGTTTCTTCCCCTGGGTCATCAAGGGGCCTCAGTGGTTCTGGGAGACTGAGGCACTGGCGGCCCCTGCACTGCTTGCATGTTGTTTTGGTAATCTCAGGGCTTGCTGGTTTCCTTGTAGCAGTTGCAACCACGACCCCTAAGTGAAACGTGGGGGTCCTGGGTAGGATCCTAGAACAGAAAAGGGGGTGTGAATAAGGAAAATGGTGAAATTCCAGGAAGATCTGTCATTTTAGTAATGTGCCAATGTTAATTCCCTAACCTTGATGCTTATACTATGATCCTTCGTGCGACAGGATGAAGAATATTGGAGAACTCTATTAGGTTTGCAACTTTTTTGCAAATCTCAAGTTTAAAATTAGAAAAAAAAATTTAAGTGATCATGACATATTGTGTAAACGGTAGCATTTCACTTGGAAAAATAGTAGGAATTCTTTCTTGGTTGATTGTTCCGGCTTTGACGAAGTGCAAATTCAACCAAGACCATAGTCCTAAGGACTACAGCTGTTGTTTCCTCACCACGGGCATGGCTAGCCAGCAGGTGTGTGCTGTGTCTGCGAGGGGTGTGTGCTTGTGGTGAGGGCCTTCGCGAGTTTGCGTGCAGGGACACAAACCCCGCACTTTGCAAGGCTGCTTTGAGTCGAACAGGCCTTGCACTCATGAGGTGGCCGGAGCTGTGTCACAGGCTGCGCTGTCATTTCTCTGCACACATTCACCTCCTGGGCCACTCGCCCCATCCCGCTGTCTGTGCACTCTGCAGCTGCACACCTGGCTGACAGCAGGATTACTGCTGATGAGAAACGTGCCTGGTTCTTCTCGTGGAAGATGATGTGTGCGTGGAAGGTCGCCAAGGCGGGATTAAAAGCAAGAATGGGAGAATGTGCTGGAAGACTCCGAGCGTGAGATGATGAGCTTGGGAGCTGACGATGCTGGTTGTGTGCAGGCATCGGGCTCTTGGGCACGGGCGAAGTTTCCTTGCTCCTCGTTCAGGCCCGGCATTTTAAGCGAAGATTTTAAAAGGGACCTGCTGGAAAGCAAGAAGCCACACTGAAACCTGGGGAGTCGCTTTGAATCTGGCTCAATGTTTGTGATTGGAGAAGAGCTGGGGGCAGTGTCACACGTAGCTCCTCCTCCTCTTGGGCTTGAAGAATGAATGTGCAGCCCCAGATTGAGCCCTGGTCACTCCTTCCCATGTTGGCCCAGCCTTCTTTGAACTTGGCCTTGGACTTTGACACAGAGTAGTGTTCATTAGTTCTCTGACTGTATCCACTGCCTTAGTTTCTCTTCTGCTGTAAGAGCATCATTTGAGGGAATATAAAACAGATAATTAATAATTAATAAGTACCAAAAATAGATAATTATGCTTTTTAGCCCAGTACAGTTCTAAGCTGGTTAGAAGCTGATACACAGTTGTTATTTGGTTAATTTATTACAAAGGCTTAGAAACTGAAGTCATAGCTTTATTTTAAAATAAAACCAAACTGTGAAGAATGTCTCCCTCTTTCAGATGGTGGAGACTTCCCACAGATTTTATGCTTTAACAAGATTGAGGAGAAAAATGGGCATGTGAAGTTTTCAATCAGATATTTTGCTGCTAGGAGCAGAACCTTAGAGGACAGGAAAAAACAAAACAAAAAGGCAAACAAAGCTGGGATGTTTCGAGGGCTCACTTACTTTCCAAAGTCCTGCCTCTTGCATTGCTTTTAGCGTTTCAAAAGTGAGCAATGCACATGTGCTCAAAATTCAATCCAGAGCTGCAATCCTGCGCTGAAGCTGTTACCCAGGCACGGTTCGGTCGTCCTCTGTCCGTGCACAGAGCCTGCCCGAGGACACGCTCAGCCTGCCTGCTGTTGGTGCACGGCGTTGCCAAGGCACCACATACACGGCGATGAAACACATCCATCATTTCAAACCAGAGATGCTGAGTTCTGGCAGACTCCTGTTTGGAACAATCCCATCTGCGCTTCCATTGGAACGAGCTGTCTTCATCATTCAGGCCTGGCCCCGGGCGCAATGATGTAGGTAGAATAGGCATTCCATGCCCCATTCGCTGGAATCCCAGGCTTTGTGTATTTATTTTTTATTTCAGAAGTTCGCTCATGTTGGCTGAGCCCCTCACGGGATTAACTTTCCTGGGTTGTGCCTTAGTTTCAATTTTTCTCCTCTTACTTGTGGGCAAAAACTCATGGGGAACGTTCATATTATCCATTCACTGAAAGCCATACATATCGGGGCCAGTGCCTTGGCACAGTAGGTTAATCCTCCGCCTGCGGCCCTGGCATCTCATGTGGGTGAGGGTTCTAGTCCTGGCTGCTCCTCTTCCAATGCAGCTCTCTGCTGTGGCCTGGGAAAGCAGTGGAAGATGGCCCAAGTCCTTGGGCCCCTGTACCCACATGGGAGACCGGAAAGAGGCTCCTGAGTTTCAGATCAGTGCAGCTCCAGCCATTGTGGCCATCTGGGGAGTGAACCAACGGAAGGAAGACCTTTCTCTCTGTCTCTCCCTCTCACTGTCTGTAACTCTACCTCTCAAATAAATAAATAAATCTTTTTTTTAAAAAAGAAAGAAAGCCATACATAGAAGTCATTAGAGCAATTATTTTTAGATGTTTGAGAAAAATTTAAAAATCCATATTATCTCTTCTGTCTGCTACCAATAGTACATGCCTCTCTTGTTTTCAATTTTGCCTTGGCCTCCAGGAAGCTCAGAGCCACATTTTACACTCAATTGCAGAAACCGTGCTGCATTACCATATTTATGATATTTTTTTCCAGTTGAACCTTAGTTCCCACTTCCATTCTTTCATTAGGCATATCACTTGTTGTGAATTATACCAATGCCATTTTGCATAAAGGCACAGTATAAATGAGAAAACATAACTGAGGGCAGATGTCTCAGGCCCCTGGGCTTCATGAAGGCCTGTGGGCTCCCTTGTCTTCCTGGAGGGGCTGCTCAGCTCCCCTCCCGCCGCCAGTCACCAACAAAGGCCACTTGCATTGCTGAGTGTCTGACCCAGGATCAGTTCACACGATTATGAAGACAGGACAGGATCCTGAGAGCTGATGCATGGGCAAGGCCTCTTAGACAAAGAAACAAGCACAGCACAGCCAAGGCTCCCGCTCAAGCCCTCAGCTCTGTGTCTGCCATGCCCGAGGGCCTCCCAGCTGCATTGGAATCTGGAGCAAACAGGTCTTGTATAGCTCACTAAGTAGTCTTTGTTTTTACAAAGAAATGGAATATCTTCAAATAAATGAGAATGAACCGGCTTCTCCATAAGGCCAACCAAGAATGGATCCACATTGACACAGATGTCTGATATCAGAATTGTGTCTGATAGTCAGCTGGTTTTTTTAGGCATGCTCATCAACCTTCAGCCTCCTCAGGCTTTTTTTTTTTTTTTTTTTTAGACAGTGAGAGAGACAGAGGGAAAGGTCTTCCTTCCGTTGGTTCACCCCCCAAATGGCCGCCACGGCCAGAGCTACACCAATCTGAAGCCAGGAGCCAGGTGCTTCCTCCTGGTCTCCCATGCGGGTGCAGGGCCCAAGCACTTGGACCATCTTCTACTGCTTCCCCAGGCCGTAGCAGAGAGCTGGATTGGAAGTGGAGCAGCTGAGACCTTGAGCCAGTGCCCCTATGGGATGCTGGCACCGCAGGCAGCAGCTTTATCCACTAGCCACAATGCTGGCCCCCAAATAATATTTAAAGTGGGGAGGAGCACATTGTGGCACAGCCACTGTGTGCGATGCCAGCATCCCGTGTGGGCACAGATTCATGTCCTGGCTGTCCCATTTTTGATCCAGCTCCCTGTTAATGCCCTGGGAAAGCAGAGAAAGATGGTCCAAGTGCTTGCACTGGTGCCACCCACATGGGAAACCAGGAAGAAGCTCCTGGCTCCTGATTTTGGCCTAGCCCAGCACCAGCCATTGTGGCCATCTGGGGAGGGAACCAGCAAATGGAAGATTTCTCTCTGGTCCCAGTGGAGCCATCTTACACCCCAGCCAACACCTGCAGGGACTGATGGGTACAGCGTTGGGGAGTCATCCCTCCTCAGCAGTGCACAGATCATGAAGGGTAAGCTGGGGGCCCATCCCCAGGGTGCACGAGTCGTGGTGGGCAGGGGGCTCTGTCTGTATTCTAACAGTGTGGCATTCAAGGACACAGGACAAGGAGTCTGAGCCTCCACGGGCCCAGAAAGGGGCTTGTAGGGATGGACTGCCTCTTTGCAGTCACCTCCCCAGTTCATACTGAACAAGCCATCATCTTCAGGTCGGGGACAAATGTGAGTGTGGGAAGCACTGTGAGACTGAAATCAGTGAAAATGTTCTCACTGTAGAGTGCCAGGCATTCCCCTGAGACTGATTCTGGGCCAGTAATTTCTGCTTTTGTTTTCTGTCCACTCTGTTGTGGTTTGCTCCTGTTTTATTAAATCCTAACAACTGTAAAAAGTAAGAGGAGGAAGAGGAAGAGAAGGAAGAAAAGAAGAAGAGAGAAAGAGAGAGAGAGAAAGGGAGGAAGGAAAGGAGAGGGGAGGGGAGGGGAAGGGAGGGGAGGGGAGGGGAGGGGAGGGGAGAGGAGAGGAGAGGAGAGGAGAGGAGAGGAGAGGAGAGGAGAGGAGAGGAGAGGAGAGGAGAGGAGAGGAGAGGAGAGGAGAGGAGAGGAGAGGAGGAAAAGAAAGGAAGAGAAAAAGAAACCAGTAAAAACATCAACATAAGGCCTAGAGAAAACCATGAGTTAGGATGCTATTTGGGGCTGCAGTAGAAGTATCCATAGGCTAAGGGAAAATGAACAATTTCTAGAAAGGCAGCCATAAATAAACCCAGTTTACCATCGCTAATCCTTCAATGCACAGACAACGCTGTGCACCAAGAAGCACCCAGAACTTCCAGGGAACCACGGCCTCACCTGAGAGTAAAATAGGGTCCCAGAAAGCAATAATCTAGGAACTGGAATTTCCACCTGCTCAGATGAAGGTAGAAAAATACCTGAGCCGGCACCGCGGCTCACTAGGCTAATCCTCCGCCTTGCGGCGCCGGCATACCGGGTTCTAGTTCCGGTCAGGGCGCCGGATTCTGTCCCGGTTGCCCCTCTTCCAGGCCAGCTCTCTGCTTTGGCCCGGGAGTGCAGTGGAGGATGGCCCAAGTGCTGGGGCCCTGCACCCCATGGGAGACCAGGAGAAGCACCTGGCTCCTGCCATCGGTTCAGCACGGTGCGCCGGCCACAGCGGCCATTGGAGGGTGAACCAACGGCAAAGGAAGACCTTTCTCTCTGTCTCTCTCACTGTCCACTCTGCCTGTCAAAAAAAAAAAAAAAAACAAAAAACAAAAAAAAAACCTGCTTTAAGGAAGCTCAATGAAATTTAAGAGAACATGGAGAAATCATCCATATTCTAAGAGAGTTTGATGGAGATGGAAGTAATTAAACAAAATCCAGCAGAAATCTTTCAACTGAAAATGCAGTAAGTGAAATTTAAAATGTGAAAGAAGGTATCAGTAGTAGAATACAGCACACAGAAGGAAGCATCAGTGAGGTTGAAGAGAACCTACTTCTCTTTTAAATAAATAACATAAATCTTTAAAAAATAAATAAGAATCAACAAGAATGAAGAAAGCATATGAGAAATATGGGATAGTATAAAAAGAGCAAATATTTGGGTTATTGGGATTCAAAAGGAACTTAAGAATGTCAAAGCATATCTAAAGACCAAAAATTCCCCAAACCTAGAGAAAGATACAACTATTCAGGTACAGGAAGGTTAAAGGTCATATTCAAATCAAGTCTACCAGCGCTGGGGCATAATGGCTGCAGTGCCGACATCCCGTACGGGCACGAGTTCAAGTCCCGGCTGCTCCACTTTCGATCCAGCTCTCTGCTATGGCCTGGGAAAGAAGTGGAAGATGGTCCAAGTCCTTGGACCCCTGCACCCACATGGGAGACCCAGAAGAAGCTCCTGGCTCCGGCAGTTACAGCCATTTGGGGAGTGAACAAGTGGATAGAAGACCTCTCTCTCTCTCTCTCCCTCTCTCTCTCCCTCTCTCTCTCTCTATTTCTCTCTGCCTTTGCCTCTCTGTAACTCTGCCTTTCAAATAAATAAATCTTTTTAAAAAGAGATAGAATATCAGAAGATAGATAATCACTGGTAAGAGCAACTATACAGATAAATTCAGAATGCTGTAATATTGTAAGCATGGTGTGTAATCCATTTATATCTTTACTGCAAAGTTGAAAACACTGTGATCACTCACTTGCCCTCATAAAAGCTGCCTCATCGTATTCTCCCCTTTTTCCTTACCCTTGCTCACCGAGTAACTTCTGATCATCAGGACTTCAGTATTAAAGCTGATACTATTTTACTTTTCTTTCTAAAAATGGAATTAAGTTTTGCACGCCTCTAGACGATCCTAAAAGGAAACTCAGAGCAGCCTTTGTGGGCCTGTTAATGTTGTCCCAGGCAGAGCCAGACGGTGTGCCAGGGAGGTGTTTCCTTCTCTCCATACCTAAGGCAGCTGAACTCGTAGTACCAAAGGCAAGGTGGCTCACATCAGAGTCCAGCGAAGCCCCTTTCTGTTATTAAATGCTGAAAGTCGTTGCACAGCACATGCGTCACCCTTAAGCCATCCATTTTAAATTCTTTTATTTTTTCATGCTTTTAAGGGATTTTTAAAAATCCTTCCTGTTGAAAAAGGAATAATGTAATTTCTCTAGGTCTTAACATGTATCTGCTCCTGGGCCACACCACTGCATGAACTTCTCCCTCTGCAGGGTCCTTAACGGTTCTAAATGTGAGTGGGCTTTCCCTGGACTGAATGCAGGAGCCGTCAGCTGGAGTCTTCTGCCCCCATCGCTGGAGCCCACGTTATTAGCCATTAGGTGCTCTTTCTTGGTTTCACTTTCTTTGGGGTGCAGATGGTCCCTGACTTAGAATGTATCAACATTGGATTTGGGGGCTTTACAATGGTGTAATAGTGATGTGATAGATAGAAATCAAACTTCCAATGTTGAACTTGATCTTTCTCCTGCTGGTGCTGTGCTGTCAGATCCTCTCTTGGCTGCTGGCATTGGCAGTGGTCACGGCTTCCAGTCCACTCTGTGGCCTTGGGGGGACCGGACTGCCGCCTCTGCCGTGTGCTGCACTGCTGACTGCGGGGACAGGGAGGTTGGGTGGATTGCCTGCATTACCCACTTGGTCATTTTCAATTTATGACGGCTTTAAGCAGCGCACCATCCCATTGTAAGTCCAGGAGCATCTGTAGGCTCTGTGGTGAATTCCTGGGAGCGAGAGGAAAGGTATGTGAGAGACAAACTTCCAGGATCACCTAAATGTCCTCATTCCCTAACTAGTTCCATTTTGCCCACGTCCTCAGTTCTCCTTCACTGGGCCTGTTTTTGAACGTGCAACCCCCCCCCCCCCTTCCCCAGCTTGCAGGCATTGCTTCTGTGTTTTCTAACATCTTGTGTTGCCGTTGAGAACAGTCTGGCGCCAGTCCAGTCCTTGCTCTAGATGCCGGCCGGGTGCTTCTCTGTGGAAGACTCTTAGGGTCTTCTACTTACGGTTCCTAATGTTCTGAGATTTCACAGAGATGCGGCTCAGACCACTTAATTTCTTTGATCCTGCTTGGCAGTCAATGGCCCCATTCAATCTGAAGACATAACACTTTCAGTTCTGGGAGAAGTTTTATCTTGCTCATACTTTTGTAAGCTGATTCCCGCTCTCATTTCTCTGTTCCATCTTTTTAGAATTCCTGCTATTTGGATACTGGATATCCTGCATTACTTTTACCTTCTAGCTGTTTTAAAAGTTTCTCATCTCACTCATTTTTTTTAACTTTTGTATGTGTTATTTTTTTGGTAAACTTTAAAAATTCTTTCTTTTGAAAAAGAATTGTTACCCCTTTTTTTGATGGAGGTAACAATTGCAGTTTTCATTTTCACACACTCTTTCTTTTTCAAGACATTCTATTCTTATTTTAAAAATATTTTAAATGGAAAATTATTTGAATAAGAAAAATTATGTAATTTCTCTTAGTTTTGACACTATTAACTCAAAATCTCCTTTTTAAAAAAATATCTATCTATTTTTTTTGAAATTCAGAGAGAGAGAGAGAGAGAGCTTCCATCCATTAGTTCACTACCCAGATGGCTGCAACAACTAGGCAGGGCCTGGCTGAAGCCAGGAGCTCCTTCTGGGTCTCCCATGTGAGTTCAGGGGCCCAAGCACTTGGGCCATCTTCTGCTGCCTTCCCAGGTGCATCAGCAGGGAGCTGGATCAAAAGTGGAGGCCGGCACCGCGGCTCAATAGGCTAATCCTCCAGCTGCGGTGCCGGCACACCGGGTTCTAGTCCCGGTTGCCCCTCTTCCAATCCAGCTCTCTGCTGTGGCTCGGGAGTGCAGTGGAGGACAGACCAAGTGCTTGGGCCCTGCACCTGCATGGGAGACCAGGATAAGTACCTGGCTCCTGCCTTCGGATCAGTGCGGTGCGCCGGCCGCAGCGCTCTGGCCGCAGTGGCCGTTGGGGGGTGAACCAACGGCAAAGGAAGACCTTTCTCTCTGTCTCTCTGTCTCTCTCTCTCACTGTCCACTCTGCCTGTCAAAAAAAATTTAAAAAGTGGAGCAGCTGGGACTTGAATCAGCGCTCCTATGGGGTGCCGGCTGCAGGCTGTGGTTTTAACCTGCTATGCCACAGAGCCAGGCCCTTTTGATTTCTTTTTTAAAGAGGTTGTTCCCTGATACTTTTCTTTTTTTTTTCTTAAATTTTTAGTTTATTTTTTAAAATATTATTTGAAGGGAAGAGAGAGAGAGAGAGAGAGAGAGAGAGAGAGAGAGAGAGAGAGACTGCTCCTCCTCAGCAGCCAAGGCTGATACCAAGAGCCCAAAACCCCACCTGAGTCTCCACTTGCTGTTGACTGTGTCTGGCTCTCTTGATTTGCTTCAAGTGGTAATTCTCATTTGTTGACTGCACGTGTGAGTGAATAAATGAATGCCTGAAGCAGGGGATTATTTTGGCCAGCTGGTGTGAGATTGCCTGGCCATTGCTTAAAAAGGTCTATTTCCTTCCACACCTTGACAGGTGCTCATTGATGTGACAGGGTTTTGCCTAGGGAAGTGCTACTCCAAGTGTCTTTGGTGGCCCTGATTCCTTCTGATTTGCAGACTTTGTTACTAGTTCGAAATGCGATAAGTATAGACATTGAAAATGTTCAGATATTTTGTAACAATCTAACACATTTTAAGAAGTTGACACGTTTAACATCCACAAATGTGATTTTGCATTTCAGTTTTGTGTGGCAATATATTTTGAAGGCTCAGCTGCAATAAGAGGAAAACATTTTAGGCCATTGAAGAGATAATGATTGTTAAATGTATTTATCTATCATCTATTTACTTGAAAGACACAGAGAGATCTCCCATCCACAGGTTCACTTCCCAAATGGCTGCAACAGCAGGTCTGGGCCAGGTCAAAGCTAGGAGCCTGAAACTCTATCTGAGTCTCCCAACGTGGGTAGAAGGGGCTTCCTGGGCGCATTAGCAGGGTGCTGGGTGGGAAGTAGAGCAGGTAGAGTTCCCACCTGCACTCCCACGTGGGACACTGGCGCTGGATTGGCGGCCGCTGCACCTCGACACCCACCCCTGAGGGTATTTATAGTAATTCACGCTGTTTATTTCCCAGAGAAATAATTTTTTCTTAATAAATACCAACCAAATCATGCTTTGTGTTCTGAGAAACATTTTGAATTATGTAACAGCTGATGTGTTAAATTTGAGACAGCTTTCTTTCTCTTATGTGATAATGTGAAAGTTGACTATGAATCACTGTTACTGCCAGTTGAGGTTTTATGGTTATAGAGAGACAAAACTGCTAAAAGTGCTTGCACTGAAAAATGAGCCACAAGATGAGAAACCTTTTTGGTTCCAACTTTAAAAAAAAGTATGAATTGGCCATCAATCTTCCTAACTTTTTGAATATCACTTAAAATGATATCATAGCTCTATGCAATGAAGGATAAGAGCATGTTTTTCAATGTTACATGAAATTAAAAGGAAAAACAAAACACTAAGATGCTGGAATAAACAATTTCCAGGGATTGCTGTAGCATGTTTCATAATTTATCAAGAAAGAAGTTGGCAATGACATTGATATGACTCATTTGTTAAAATTTATCACCAAGCCGGCGCTGCAGCTCACTAGGCTAATCTTCTGCCTTGCGGCGCCAGCACACTGGGTTCTAGTCCCGGTCGGGGCCCCGGATTCTGTCCCAGTTGCCCCTCTTCCAGGCCAGCTCTCTGCTGTGGCCAGGGAGTGCAGTGGAGGATGGCCCAAGTGCTTGGGCCCTGCACCCCATGGGAGACCAGGATAAGTACCTGGCTCCTGCCATCAGTTCAGCGCGGTGCGCCGGCCACAGTGTGCCAGCCAGGGCGGCCATTGGAGGGTGAACCAACGGCAAAGGAAGACCTTTCTCTCTGTCTCTCTCTCTCACTGTCCACTCTACCTGTCAAAAAATAAATAAATTGTAAGAGACAGGGATGATGAGAGGCAATTCTGTAAGTAAAAGAAATCTATATTTTGTATCAAAGTTTCAATAAATATGTCCTAAATTAATTGATCATTTTTCCATTTCATAGAAATGTCCAAAATAGATAAATCTATAAAGCCAGGGAAAAAAATCATGGCTTGCCTGGGGCTGGGAGTGAAAATGTGGAATGATTGAAAATAGTCAAGAGATACCTATTGGAGTGAGAAATGTTCTAAAACTGGATTGTGGCTATGCTTGTGTGAGTATGCAAAACACTAAAATTCACTTCACCACACACATAAGTGAATTTTTCTGTACATACATTATATACCAATAAAGGTGTGTTTTTAAAAAAAGGAACTGATAAAAAAATTGAGAGGTCAGAGAATAGATAGATATTAAAGGATATTCTTGGGAGTTTCCTTGGCAACCAACAAGAATAAAAATAGAAAATGCTTTTGTGAATTATCTAGTTTTATTTTGTCAGTGCACCTAGTACTGTGAACCATTATTAAAGTTCCTTTTTCTTTTTTTAAAGACTTATTTATTTTATTTGGAAGTCAGAGTTACAGAGAGGGAGAGGCAGAGGCAGAGAGCGAGCGAGCGAGCAAGGTCTTCCATCTGCTGTTTTAGTCACCAAATGGCCACAAGGGCCAGGGCTAGGCCAGGCCAAAGCCAGGAGCCAGGAGCTTCATCAGTGTCTCCCACATGGGTGCAGGGCCCAAACACGTGGGCATCTTCCACTGCTTTTCTAGCTGCAATAGCAGGAAGCTGGATCAGAAGTGGAGCAGCCAGGACCCGAACTGGCACCCATGTGGGATGCCAGCACTGTAGGAGGCAGCTTTACTCACTATGCCACAGTGCCGGCCCCCATTATTAAAGTTCCTTAAGCATTTAGATTTCTTGATGCAGTAGGGAAAACACTTGCTGTCTTATTGTCGCTCCCCCTCTTCGCAGAGGAACGACACAGGACCCTGCGCTGTTCTTTTGTCTGCTCGGCCCTTCCAGGGTTTGCTGCTGGTCCTTCCCGGGTTGGCTGCCAGCCCCTCCACCTCCGTGGAGGGCCGGCTCCCCCTGCCACTTTCCCCACTTCCGCGGGGGAGCGGCACACCGCCGGCGGCTCCCTCGGGGGCTGCTCAGGTGTTCCCTTTAGATGTTCCTGGTGCATGTTGCCTCTCTCCTCCTTTATAGTCCTCTTCCACCAATCCCAACCCTGCTACCCACACGCTGAGTACGCTGCTCTCCTCCAATCAGGAGCAGGATCAGCACCTGCAGCTTATCAGTCAAGTTGGTGAGAGGCAGCTGCGTAGAAGCTGTTTACTCCTCTCCCAGCGCCATATTGTGGGAGAGCAGATGCATAGAATAAGTCTTAATTCCAGTAACTTAGTCTAGTCCGAGTTGCTCCCCACATCTTATTATTTATTTTTTTAAGAGGAAGAGAGAGAGAGAGAGAGAGAGAGAGATCTTCCAGCCACTGGTTCACTCCCCAAATTCTTACAACAGCTAGGGTTAGGCCAGGTTGAAACCAGGAGCCAGCAATGCAATGCAGATCTTCCACAAGGGTGGGAAGAATCCAATTATTTGGCCCACCACTTCGTCTCTCAAGATATGCATTAGCAGGAAGGCAGGGACCAGAGCTGGGTATCAAAGCCGGTACTCCTATGTGCAATAGAGGCATCTTAACTTATAACCACTAGACCAAGCACACACCACAGTTTCAATCATGCAGATTTTAAATCTGGCTCATTGTGTCATCTG